CGCTTCCTAAGACTGTTGTCAGATGTAAAGCAGAATATTCTCACCAAGTGCACCTTACCTTTATGCAGATAAGGTGGAAACCCACAACACGAGCTCAGCAAAATGGAATCAAGTTTTAAAGCGACATAGGCAAAGCTTCATGGACTTCCCCAAACTCATCTTCCCAATCCAAAACCTTGTTCCGCCTGGTCTTGTGTTATGCACCATTTTTATTCAGAGCTAACTATGGGAATGCTTCGATTTCCCAAAATAATGTTTTTAAAGGCGCTAAAGTCACTCACACTGCGTGTGGACGAGGCACTGTTCTAGGAGCGTCTTAGGCAGTAACCCGTTTAGAGGACCTCAACACAAGTTTTTACATCAGAAGTGAGCGAGTTACATTCACACCCACATCACCCTGACTGCCACGTGAAAAACAACCTTGTCGAGGACAAAAACAAAAGAGCAGAGAGACCAGTCTATACACTACTGGAGTAGTCTAGCTGGAAGAACGATACTGAGATTATGGTGATGGGAGCGAGGATGGGTTCCAGAGATATCTGGGAAAAAGATCCACAGGATTTGACGTGGGAGGTAAGGCGGGGCGTGTGGATGACTCCCCGGCATGAACTCGCTGATGAGCGAAGTGTGCGCTCTGCCTGAAGACTTTCCTGCTTCTCTTGTAGTTATAGGCCCGCTCTCCGGTGTGGACTCGCTTGTGTTGGTTGAGGTGTCCAATCTGGATGAAGGTTTTCCTACACTCCTTGCATTCATACGGTTTCTTTCCAGAATGAATCCGCTGATGCACGCTAAGGGACTGGCGATGGCTAAAGGCTTTGCCACAGACAGTGCACTCATACGGTCTCTCTCCGGTGTGACTTCTGCGATGACAAATCAGGGAAGACTTTGTCTTAAATGCCTTTCCACACTCAACACATTCATAAGGCCGCAGGCCCGTGTGAAGCCTCTGATGTTGAGTACAGGAGGAGTTATCACCAAAGGCCTTCCCGCACTCGACGCATTTATAGGGCTTCTCTCCGGTGTGAACTCTCTGATGCTGAATGAGGTGTGTGGCCTGGCTGAAGGCTTTCCCACATTCCTTGCACCGATATGGCTTCTCTCCCGTATGAGTTTTCTGATGCTGTGCGAGGTGAGCCTTCTGGGTGAAGGCTTTACTGCAAACTTTACACCCGTAGGGCTTCTCTCCAGTGTGAATTCTCTGGTGAGTGGCGAGCTGTGAACTGATGCTGAAGGATTTGCCGCATTCCCCGCACTCAAAGGGCTTCTCTCCAGTGTGAATTCTCAAGTGACTAGCAAGGTGTATATTCTGCCTAAAAGCTTTCCCACATTCTTTGCACTTAAAAGGTTTCTCTCCCGAATGCACTCTTTGATGTTGAGTGAGGGATGCGTGATGGCTGAAGGCTTTTCGACAAACATCACACTCATACGGTTTCTCTCCAGTATGAATCCTTTGATGGACAGTAAGGGATGAGCCGTACCTGAAGGACTTGTCACACACATCACATTTGTAGGGTTTCTCTCCAGTATGAATTCTCCTGTGTTGATTAAGTCCTATGTGGTCACTGAAGGCTTTCCCACAGTTGATGCATTCAAAGGGTTTCTCCCCAGTGTGATAGTATCTCCAGTGACGAATAAGGGATGTGTTCTGTATGAAGGCTTTCCCACAGTCGATGCATTCGTAGGGCTTCTTGCCAGTGTGACATCTTTGATGTCGGGCAAAGGATGAGCCATCGCTAAAGGCCTTGCCACACTCGCTACATTTATAGGGTTTCTCTCCGGTGTGAATTCTCTGATGAACAGTAAGAGATGAGCTCTGGGTAAAAGTTTTCTTACATTCATTACAATTGAAAAGTTTTTTTCCTGTGCAGATTCCTGTATGTTTTATCCCCACTGTATTTTGGGGGAAACTTTTCTTAACTGAATCATGGTTATGAACTCTCTCTTCTGAAACGTCCAAGGGGAACCATCTTCCAGATTTGTTACACGTACGCTCTCTTTCTTTAGAGAGGGTTTTGCTATTAGTGACTGTTTCTTGCCTGAATTGTGTCTCCTGGCCTACCAGCTTCCTCTCAAACACACCCTCAGAATCCCAATTTTCTCTGAAAGTTGGACATTTCAGATTAGTGCTTAAAGTTCTGTCTGTTAGCACATCAGCAAATAAATCCTGCTTTGGAAATAATTCCTGGGTCTCATGTACAGATTGTTGGCCTGAAACATATCAAGAAAACAAATATTTCCTTTATCATGGATTAGAAAAAAATATGCTAAAAAGAAAACTGTAAATGGGTTCACTAAATGGTGAATTAAAACACATAAATAATGCATTTGTAAGAGCTATTGCATTTAAACATGCAGCCTACAATGTATATGAGAGACCCCAGACTGAATCCATACAGGAACCTCAGGAGACATGAGAAGAAAATATATATGTGGATTGGTTATATATCAAAAGAGTGGAAGTTGAAAAAAAGATTCTGCAATCACACCACCTAAAAATATACCTATGACATTCGCTGACTTCAATTATTTCACTGTCTATCTGGCTTTGGATGCCACGGCAGTCATCACATCACAAAAGTTGTTCAAAGAAACAGGCCAAACGCACAAAAAGAGACTGCACTCTGTAACGTGCATTAGGAATATCTGAAAGCCTGATTACTGCCCTACGACCAGGAAATGATGCTTCTGTAAACCACATTTTATTTGAATAATTTCAACAAAAGCGACATTACCAGTTGGTGGCCAAAGCTCAGCAGTCCCACTGAATCATTTTTACTTTTGTGAACCTATTTGTTCACTTCCCACGAGCCTGATAAAATCTTCGCTTCTTTCCTGGCCGTTTAATAAGGATAGGGTCTGGCAATTTAATTTCTCATTTTGAGGAGATTGTTTTTATAATAATGGTGAGTCTTAATATTATAATTAATTATGCTCAGATGTACTACTGATAAAATATATGTTTTATTCCACACTTTCAGGTTATAGGAAGGAATGTATATATCTGAAATCCTTTTGCTAAATCAGTTAGCATATACCCAAAATTGTGCACATGTAGTTGTATCTTCATAAATATACATAGATGATATTGGTATTGGGAGATGATGCAGAGAGACAAATGTCTGAAAAAAGATGATGGTAAGATAGGGAAAAGGAAATATTGTTTTTTTTAAATAATAAAAAAACACCGAAAACTTTCCTTCTTAGATCAAACCAAATAAGGATGCCTTTTGCACTACTTCTATTCAACACTGGTCTGGAAGTTCTAGCCAGAACAATTAGATATAGAAATAAAAGGCATCCAAATTTGCAGATGATATGATCTCATATATAGAAAACCCTAAAGAATTCACAAGCAAAGTGTCAGAGTTAATAAGCTAATTAATCAAAATTGCAGGTTACAAGAGCAACACACAAAAATCACTACATTTGTATACACTCAGAATGAACACTATGAAAAGGAAATTATGAAAACAATTCCATAAAAAATAGCATTAAGCCCTAACCACTTTGGCTCAGTGGATGGAGCATCGGCCTGCGGACTGAAAGGTCCCAGGTTCGATTCCGGTCAAGGGCATGTACCTTGGTTGCAGGCACATCCCTAGTAGGGGGTGTGCAGGAGGCAGGTGATCGATGTTTCTCTCTCATCAATGTTTCTAACTCTCTATCCCTCTCCCTTCCACTCTATAAAAAAAGTCAATAAAATATATATTTTTAAAAATAGCATTAAAAGAAGAAATTAGTTAGGAATAAATTTACCCAAGGAGGTGCAAGACTGATGCTGAAAACTACAAAACATTACTCAATAAAATTAAGAAGAGTTAAATAAATGGAAAGACAGCCTGTGTTCCTGGATAGGAAGAGAGTAAGAAAGAATTAAGTAAGCAACAGAAAGGAGACCAAATGGAAAAAAAGGGGGAAAAAAAGAAAGAAAAAGGAAGCCAAGTATATTATTTAATATATCAATTAATAAAAAGAAAAACTAAGAGTAAAAGAAGTGGTCAACAGAGTAAATGCTTCTATTAATGAAGATACCACCCAATTTAAACTACTGAACAGCAAGAAACATCATGCAAACTTAGAGACCACACAAAACTAAGAAAAAAAATGTATCACGTTCACCAAACAGGACTTATATTCATATTATATAAAGGCAAGGAATTAGGACCCAATAGAAACGTAGGTAATGAGTATAAAGACACCATTAACAGAATCTGAACTCCAAATGGACTTAAATGCATACATTCTCAACATCACAAGCTTCTGGGAAGTAAATATTAAATAAAACTCAATTTTCATTCAACAGCTTGGCAAAAATGGAAGAAAACAAAACACACCAACCAACCAAATACTACTGGGGAGATGTTTCTCACCAATGGTTTAGCACTATATCCGTGAAACTTTAAAAACATTGCCGAAACCAGTTTGGCTCAGTGGATAGAGCGTCAGCCTGCGGACTGAGGGGTCCCAGGTTCGATTCCGGTCAGGGGCATGTACCTGGGTTGCAGGCACATCCCCAGTAGAAGATGTGCAGGAGACAGCTGATCGATGTTTCTCTCTCATCAATGTTTCTAACTCTCTATCCCTCTCCCTTCCTCTCTGTAAAAAATCAATAAAATATATTAAAAAAAACAAACAAACTAAACTAAACATGTGTACTTTATCATGCAAAGAGATCTGTGCAAACGGGACCACTTTTTAAAAACTGGAAAAGACCTAAATGTTCAAATGTCCTCAATAGTAAGTCAGGTAAGTGAACAGTATCTATATACTGTAATACTACATAGCCATTAAAAAAAAAAGAACTACATGTATCAAGTTTCTAAGGACATAAACAGAAGAAGAAATTATAAAAGAATACATGAGACTATGTAAAAATTTCTGAAGTTTTACATTTTTAAAAGGTCTACTTAAAACAAAAACTCTTATTACCATACTAGAGACCTGGTGCACAGGATTCGTGCATTGGTGGGGGGCGTGGCCTGCGGAAATCGGCCCACTGTGGGAGCGCTACTCATCCCGGTCAGCCAAGCGGTGCTCCCACTGTGGGAGCACACTGATCACCAGGGGGCAGCTCCTGTGTTGAGCGTCTGCACCCTGTGTTGAGTGTCTGCACCCTGGCGGTCAGTGCATGTCATAGCAACTGGTCAACCAGTCATTCTGGTTGTTCTGCCATTTGCTGGGATATTATTATATAGGATGTGACAATAGTTTGAGACAGAACATCAAAAAACTAGTATGCTTTACAGAAAAGTCTCTGAGACTATAAAAGACATGAACAGATAAGTGGGTGTAAATGAGAAACATTTTATAAAAGGATAAAGAGAATAACCAAATTCAGGGCAAGTATTCAAACGTTTTCATAATAAAAAAGTAACTTGTGGCCATAATCTTTCTTCAAATAATGAGTAAGCATTTTCATCAAGATACCCGATGTGCTGGGACACAATGAAACCCACACTCCTGGTCATCGCTAGAGTTGCTGAAAGCAAGGCAGCTCTCAGAGCCTAGCAGACGTCCAGGTCCAGGAACAGAGCGATCCCCAAAGCACCTGGTTTCCCCTTCCATAGGATGCCTATTGTACGCACACTTTCCATAACAATAGATGTGAAGTAACCTGACGGGAGATGTGCAACATGGAGGGCGTGTGAAAGTATCTGTGTGCACGACTGAGCATAAACTACAGTCCCCACTGTGTTCAAAATACATGTTTATCATGAGTTGAAAGGGGTCAAAGTTGCTTTGATAAGATATTGTGTTTACAGGGTCATCCAGACAGGTGATAGGATTATACTTTCTATAAACCATTATTTGTCAAAGAAATTTCTTTGCCTTCCCTTGTGTAGCAAACAAGGAAGAGATCCCCCCTCCACCACCACCACCACTGATGCCTTCTTGCCATCTGACTTCCGCCCACCCTGTCCAACTACAAGAACGCTACCGGGATCCTCTCCTTTGCCCCTGCAATGCCTTATGGGAAATTCTGCAATTTCTACGTCATGCCAGTTATCCATGAATATGTCTTACCCTCCCATTATTAGAGTAATGGTCTGAGTAACATATTCACAAACTCCGTCTCTCTCCAACACCTGCCAATGCCAAGCAGAGTGGCCCCCTCAATCAACTGTCAATTGGTGGTTCTCAGAGGAATGGACGCACATGAAGGGAATGGGCCTCTGACCGAGGAGGAGGAAACCTTTGGAAGGCAGTGCAAGAGCCCACGGGGTCAGGAAAGGTCACTTGAGGAACAGAGTGGCTGACGCACTTCCGAGTGGCCAAAAAGACAAGGAGGGCTACCGACACTGTCACCACCCAGGAAGAAGAGGAGGAGGAGGAGGAGGAGGAGGAGGACATGGATGCTGACGACAGGGTGGTGGTGGAGTACCATGAGGAGCTCCCGGCTCTCAAGCAGACCCGGGAGCGGAGCTCCTCCAGGAAGGAGGAGGAGGAGGACTTTGAAGAGGCAGGCCTCAAATTTCCCTCCAGCCCAACAGGCCTGGGCAGCGTTGACCCCTGTGCCTTAGCAAGGACGCGGCCTCCAGGGCAGCTCTACCTCCGAGGTGAAGGCTTTCCATGCCCACCTCCCGCGCTCACCTGCGAAGAGGCCTCCCGCCAGCTCTCTCTTCGCCAGCCAGGGCTCCCTCCCGCGATGCAGCCGAGAAAACCACTGCGGCCGGGACACACAGCGCCCTGCGTGGGAAAGGACAGGGTCCGTCACGCTCGTGGCCTCTGCAGAGCCAGCCCCTCGGCTCCGGGAGGAAAGTGCCAGCACAGGAAGAGCAGGAAGAAGAGTGGGGGGCCCTGACAGCACAGAGCGCTTCACGCACAACGAAGACACCGGCTTTCCGCTCCACCAGCAGCAAACGCTCCTCAGAAACCGACAGCAACGGTTCAGCCCGACACCGCAGGGCGCCCACCACGCACACACCTCAGCACCGAGGGGGGGAAGTCAGGCTGGGAGCGACGCCTCACCTGCCTCCAGGTCCGGGCTCCCCGGCGTCACATCCTTAGGGAAACTGCCCTGAGCCGGGCCGGGCGGCTGCGAGGAGTCGCTGGCCATCCGCGTTCTGGTCGCCAGGCCCTGAAACGCACAGACGGGCTGTGACCCAGCCATCCCCGTGAACCGCAGCGGCCTGGCGAGGCGCCGGGCCCACAGGCTGGGAGACACGTCTGTCCAGGATCCTCGCTTAGCTCCCGAGTGACGCAGGTCGGGGGGCTGGGCCGAGGGACAGCGCGTGCGTTTGGCGGGAGGGAGAAAACAGAAGAGCCTGCTCTGCGGTGGGAAATGTGTGATTCTGTGGAGGAGGATGAGCCCACAGCGTGGACTTTCTCCTGCGACCGAAGGCTGCCCCCCCAGCTCGGGTACTGGGTGACTCGGGGGCTCCCTCAGCTGAGAGGAAGGGGAGCGCCTGCTGGGGGCTCCCTCACAGCAGCACAGGCTGCCGTGTCCTGACGTAAGCAGACGTGTTTGTGACTCATCGCACTGAAGTCCCCACTTTTCTGAGCCTCACGCCTGCTCGCTCCTTCTCCTGGGCGGAGCCTGTCTGCAGGCAGCGCTGCATTCAGAGGAGAGCTTCTCCCCTGGCCAGGGTTGTCCAGTGGGTAGAGCATCAGCCTGAAGACAGAACGGTCCCGGGTTCGATTCCGGTCAAGGACACGGACCTTGGTTGCAGGCTCCTCCCCAGCCCGGGCCCTGGTCGGGGTGCGTGCAGGAGGCAACCAACCCATCGATGTGTCTCTCTCCCGTCGCTGTTTCTGTCTGTCTCGCCCTCTCTTCTACGC